CACATAGAGGGCAGTGAGCTGTGGAGTGACAGTGTTTGACTGGGTGGCCTAAATGCCAATATTTTCAATTTTGACAGGGAAAGGCTGTATATGGTTGGACAGGCATGGCACTTACCAATATAATCTTCATGAGGAGGTCATGTCTTCAGAAGCTAAACTTGGCAATATTGGCGTAGGACTTACATTGGCCCTAGGAGGAATAGTGTAACACAGGACTGCCACTGCATTATAGTCAATGAGGTATGCAAGTCGTTTTCACAGTCTGACCATTCCTTGTTGTAGACAGGACAATCAGTCGGAGAGACAGAAACAATTTTAGTACCAATATTAAGGGAGGAGGGAGGTTGGGCATGAAGAGGTTTACTAGTGAGGTCAGTCAGTGTAGATAGTACACGAGCTTGGGACTTGGATGTAACTGTGAAAAGGCATGAATGATCAGAACAACTGCAAAAGGAAACTTTGCCTACCTGTTTTTGGAGACGTTGGAAGAGAAGGGTATTGTCAGAGTACAGAGCTGTAGTGGGAATCACAAAGAATTGATCCCAATTGGCTGGGCCGAAAAGGGTATTCAAAAGGATAGGAATAAGGAGGGTGGAAGTAGATAATGAACAAGACTGCAGTAGAAGATGGAGTGGAGGATGTTGGGAGAGAGGAAGGGGTGTATTCTGAAGGATGAGTAATAACCTGGGTGGATAATTCAGGATGGGTTGGCCACAAACATCAAGGATCAGGAAACCAATGAAATCAAATTTAGATAGGCTAGTTGATGACAGGGCAAGCCTTATGCCCCAAATAAATTTTATGCTGCATCAACATCTGAGGTCATTAGCAGCATATTCAAAATATAGTGATAGATCCTAAGGCAAAACCCCCAAGTAAGGAAGTTGTTATATGACATCAAAGATAATATGGTACTATGGTAAAGTAGAGTAGATGATCGGGTAAAGTGTATGTTAAAGGTTGTTAGAAGGGGAAGGAGTTAAGGGAGTAGGGAGCACTGATAAAGTATTGTGGCAAAAATGGCAAAAGTAAGTTAACAATTAGGATAAGTAGACAAGTTTGAGTCTGAGATGGCAAATCTCAAATTCAAACTTGGTCTCACTTTATAATAGGCAAGACAGGATTCACACAGACAAGGTTTTTCTCATACTCCTTACTTCAGTATGGTCCTTCACTCTGCACCTCACCTTCCCTAACAAAAGTTTATACATCTCCCCAAGTATTTCTTCCTCATCCTACTTCTAATGGTTAATGGTTAAAAGCAAGATAAATGTGCTAGACATCTAAGGTCATGTAGCACTATAGTTAATGTTAGTGAAGGGTGGTTGAGTTAGTGATTAGTTGTCTAAGCTGGGCAAAGGAATTAGTGAGTGAAAGGGTTAAGGTCGGGTGTTATATTAGATAAAGGGTATGCAAAAGAAAGGTTTCTTGAAGGCATACAATAGATGGGTTATAAGAGGAAAGGACATGATGGTCAGGTCTGTGGGAGCGGAAACCGCGAATATTCCAATGAAGGATAGTTATACTTTCGTTGATTTAGTGATATAGATTGTAGTACGTGTTGGAGAATTTGAAGGGGAAGCAGCTAGAGGGTGGGATAAGGACTGAGAGGTTTGAGATGGGAGAGGTGTGGGAGTTGGTGTTCTATCAGGAGGGGTATTAGGAGATGGAGGGTCTGAGGAAGGGGATACTTGTGACATAAGGAATTCACGTGTGTATCCAGGAGGGAGTGGAAAGGATAGAGGGGATGGTGGGAGAGTTAATGTGGGCAGGGTTGGGGTCAGGGGGGATGGGCTGTGTTGGGAGGGGGTAGGGGGGTATGGTGTAGGGGGGATATCGTTAGGAGGAGGATGGATATCAGCAATTACTTGGAGTGTGGAAGGAGCAGGAGTTGTAGGTTGAGTGTCGGTTTTCATTAAGTAATCTTGAATATTTTCAATAGTTTCTTCTGTGGAGTTGGTTGGGGAGTTTTGGGGGATAAAGGATTTCTTGTGAGGGGGGGAAGAGAGGACTGGTGTCTCAAGAGTACGGGCAAAGGATGGTGGGGGTGATTGTGTGGTAGGGGAAGAGGGGGTGGAACGTTTGTTCTGTCTGTAACGGGGAGTGCGAGGAGGGAGAGGGGAAGTTGTTGGGGTTGTAGTGGTGATTGGAGTATCTGTAGTAGAGATTGGAGTTTCTGGATTTAGGATGGCAAAAGAGTTTGACTGGGGAAGGTAGGTGGGGTTAGTGGGGGGGTTAGATGTAGGAGGGGTGGGTTTAGGAGAAGTGTTAGAATGAGCAGTATTACTGGAGTAAGGAGTAAGAGAGAATCCACGTCGACGTGCTTCCTGTCTGGCTTCACGCAGTGTGAGTCCGAGTTTGAATCTGAGAGTTGCTACCTCAGATTCAAATTTGTAGGTGGGACAGCCCCTATAAAATACATTATGGGGGCCGCCACAGTTGGCACATGTGCGTGATTGTGCAGAGCAGTTAGATCGGGTATGGCCAGGTTGGGCACATAATGGGCATCTGGCTGTGGAACGGCAGTGTTTGGCTGGGTGTCCTAGACGCCAACAATTTTGGCACTGACGTGGAGGTTGGTATGGACGAACAGGGAGGGATTCTCCTCCTATGTAGATGTTAAAGGGAAGGTCATGTCTACGGAAGGTAATTTTGGCTATGTTAGTGGGTTTCTTTCGATGACCTCTGGGGGGGATGGAATAGCATTGTACTGATGTTGCATCGTAGTCTGTGAGACAGGCAAGTAGATCTTCTCCACAATCTGACCAATCTTTGTCATAGATTGGGCAATTTGTTGGTGAGATTGAGACTGTTCCGGTGCAAGTATTGAGGGTTGGATGGGGTTCTGCTAGGATGGGGTTACCATATAGGTCAGTTAGTTTTGTTAATGCTATGGCTTGGTTTTCGGATGTTACTGTTACAAGACGGGAGCGGTTGGGTCGGCTACGGAAAGAGACTTTACCTACTTGTTTTTGGAGGCATTGTTGGAAGAGAAGGGTATTGTCAGAGTAGGGAGCTGTGGGAGGGATCACGAAAAATCGGTCCCATTTGCTGCACTGAAGAGAGTATTCAAGATTGTTTTAGAGATAGGGGTGGTAGAAGGGCGAGGGCGTGACGAAGATGGAGTAGTGTTGATGGAGGTAGTGTTATGGAGAGGTGGGCTATAAGGCTGTAAGGTATTAATAAGGGAGGATGGGGTGGTTGATGTTGGAGGTTGTGGGGGTAGAGGTGTTGAAGTTGGGCATGCTGGGAGAGTGGAAATGTTCCTTGAGGGTTGATTGTTGGCTACTGTACTAGTAGGCATTGGTGAAGGGGTAGTTATTGCAGTGTTTGGAGCCGTGGTCAAAGGAGAGCCTGGGGTCGGGGAATCGGGTGGGTTTACTTCGTTGGGGCTATTTGATAAAGGGGAAAGCCTCATTGCCCCTAACAGTGGGGATATATTTTCATTACTGGCCATGGGAAGCCTGGATTATGTTGGGGATAAAAGCAGTCCACCCCTCAGGGTCCCCTTGAGGGATAAGGGCTAGATAACTAAATCAGGGGAATACCGTGCCCATGGCTCCCTCAGGCCGTTCAGGACTGGCACAAAGTCAGCCTTTCATCCTTTCAGCACGGCTCTCACACCTTAGGAGGTGGATAGCAGAAGGGTTTGGTGAAGGGACAGAAACAAAAGTGGGAAGGGAAAAAAAAGACCATGCATAATTAGTTGAGTCGAGGGCTGAGTCCCAAGGTTGGGGAGTTCCCCATCATTGGGTCCCAGTCTCCGCCTCCTAAGCCCCCCCACGACAACAACGGGCAAGGGATTGGGGGGGCATCCTACTTCTAACCCCTTCCTCTTCCCATCAAATCCTTTGGCCAATCTTAATCCAGACACCCTAATCTCCACCACTATTACATACACTCCAGTCTCTATTTCCCTGGTATATACCCCTCTTCCTTCTTGCTCATCCCCTCCTGCATCAACCTCTCTCTCCACCCCTCAAACATCTGTCCCCTCTTTTCCCCCTCGTAAGAAAACTTGTTTCTCAGACCTCCCCAACAAACTCCACTTCAGAAACTCTTGAAAACATTCTAATCAACCTCTCCCTCTGTCCCTTAACCCCTTGGTGCCGGGTGACGCCGATCGGCGTGTAAACAAAGCGCTCGAAAGCTGGCGTGCAGCCAAACGAGCCGGCGGCGAGCCAGTGATTCGGGCTGATGTCCCCTACTC